TTAAACTTCAAAGATAGCAAAATTCATTGTCTCTAATTCTTTTTTCATTTAATTCTCTTCTTGACAACCTTTTTACATAACTCAGTCAGTATTAAACATCAATTTCTCAATTGATCATGTAACGAAGCAATATTATTTTTTGTTAATCCAGCCAGGGGATACTTTTTTAAAATTCGTCTAAGTTTCCACCAGTCTCAACAATGTTAGGGCATTGTGTTAGTTATTGAGATCAGATCATTGTTTTGGATAACAAACATGAAATCGTTAAAATTTCATCCAAATTGTTTCAACGCTTTTGGAATTGAAGTTAAATATAGAATTAAAACCTCAATATTGTTAATTTCTGTATACATTTTTCAGAAATTACATGACTCATATTAGCATGTAATCATCCAATCAAAACTGGGTTTTCGTTTAATTAGGAATTTTCCTTATTTTTCATCTTTATCAGACCAACACTTTCTTGAAAATGATCTTTTGATGGTTTTGTCATGACAGAAATTTTGAATGCTACTGCCCTTGTAAATCAAAAAAATTACAACATGACAGCTTGCAAAATGTTGTGCTGGTGTGTTAATACAGGCGCGGATCCAGGATTTTTTTTCGGGGGTTGGGGGGCTCCACCTCAGTCAAAATAAAATTTCCAACCCAAAAATTTCTTGATAAGCCAAAAAAAAAAAAAAAAAACAACAAAAAACAAAAACAAAACCAAAAAAAAAAAACAAAAAAAACAAAAAAACAAAAAAAACAAAAAAAAAACAAAAAAAAAAAACAAACAAACAAACAAAAAAAAATAAAAAATAAATAAATAAATAAATAAATAAATAAATTCCCTTCCTTATCTAGAAAATTATCTGACAGGCAAAACAAAAAATAAACGTGAAAAAAACTCTTTCATGGTGGTGATGGGTACAAGTTTTCTAGGGGGTGGTCCAAAGTAATTTTTTATTTGCTTCATTATATACTTTTAATACCTCTGCAAATTCCGGAGGGGGGGGGGTGGGGGCTCCGGACCCCCCGACCCCCTTCTAGATCCGCGCTTGTAATAAGAATAGCAAATAGAAGACAGGTATGATATTGAAATAATTTGAGACAAAAGCAGTGTCATGTATATTGTTCTTCGGTTTTTTAAAATAATTCCTTGACCATTTGTCAACTCTGATATAAATATTTCATTGCTAGTATGTAGCAATTTCTATTTGGGAAATAATTTTTCAGGACTAACAATGAACTTATGTGGTGTGGTGCAGACACATAGCCTGTATATCTTAAGCGGATAACCTCCATCAAAAAACATGCATTAAAATTTTGGATATTATACCCGCATTTTCACAGATTTTGTCAATTTGATGGAGTAATATCCTATAACAATAATTCAGTAATATGATCCTTGTTTATCCATAAAAGATAACAACGACTTATGAATAAGATTATTGGCGGCTACAATTAGATATGTACTCATATCCTACTGATCACAAAAGTGGTGTAGTTCTGGGAAGAAACAGGATAATTATTAAACTAATTGACAGTGTAAAAATTAAATAAATGTCAATGATCTTTTTTCAATGCTTTGGAACACAGCATTGGAATCGATTCATACCCCTCGCTAGCTTTTCATGATGTCTAAAAGCAATCCTTCGATTCATTTATCGGAATTTGTCTCAAAATTGCATGTAAATTTCCTAACACCAGGGAGATAATGTCTGCTTATTAATCACGTAAGAACTTAACTATTTCTACAATAAATTTTGAATATATGTCTAAAGAAAAGGAAACTCTTAGTTCCAGAACATTTTGTTTTGTTTTGTTTTTTGTATTTTATGCGTTCCAACGCTTCAAACGTGGTATCCGATAATAAATTATATATTTTACTCCCATTCCTGACACTTTATTTACCTTTCAAAGATTCCAAACAGCCGTATGTAGTCTTGGCGTATCAGTTATAAAAAATACATTCCGAGCTCCATATGCTAAAAATAACACGCCCGATCGGTTTTATTTATGATGAAATATGAAGATAACGAACAGAATTAAATCTCGAAAGTCCTATGAAACGATACAAATTTGGAGCAGAGCAAACCCGGACCTCAAAATTTAGAGGTGGGATCAGGTGCCATGGAGGAGTGAGTATCCCCTACCGACCAGTCACACCCGCCGTGTGCTCCTTGTAATGATCGGGAAACAAAAACCGGAAAAATCTGTAGACACCTGTGTATAAATTATGCCCTAACAATTAGTATGAAAAACGTCAGTCAGCATTTGACTCAATGATAGGTTGTATGTGCAGACAATGCCATTGTATCGACCGAAAAACTTGCAAAAAATGACTTCAAACGAGACTGTTGATATCCTTGTTTCGTCAACCTGTTCTGTCAGTAGCTTGCCTCGTTTTAGATATTGTTCATACGTAGAGCATGCTCTTGCGTATCGAATCAACTGAGAGACATAAACCACATATGCAGGTGATAAGGGTAAGGAAGGAAAGTTGACGATTGAAAAGTTGAAGTCGTCAGCTTTGTTACAATTAACGTCTTTTTCTAGTAAAATTTCTAAATATATACAGATCTATCTCAATTTTTTTTACATACTTATTGTTTTCTTTATAGACAAGTGAATATACATTCATGATATTTGAACCTCCAGACTTTTTATTCACATTTTCTTCGCACGACTCCCAACATGGACGTCGGGATGGGAAAATTTTAAAATGATATTCCAGGACCACATAGGGTCCTTTGGAACCGTTGAAAGGTACATAAAGTATAAAGAATGGGAGTAAAATATATGATTAATTATCGGATACCATTTGTAAATTGGGGGAACGCATAAAATACAAGAAATAATACCCAAAGCGAGCGACAAAAAAGCAGCTTTTTCAATTTTGATAATTTATATTAAATATCTATATCTGCATTTTTGTAATCAAGTATAGCCAATGCAAAGACTATATCCCAGTGTGATTACGGAGATGGGAAAAGTAATATGGAGAAAGGCTATTTAAGAATAATGTTCACCTTTTACATGTAGTTGAGATTTACCAACAAAGGTATTAATGCTGTAAACATTAGTATCATTATTAATCATTAAAAAGTTGTCTTGCATTCAATCATATTTTAAGTTGCCTGGTTTTCCTACAGATTTTCCTCACTGTTGCATCCAATCTTTTAATTACGAACACAAATTCTAAATGTACCTAGGTAAAGAAACTCTAAAACAAATTCCTCCTTTAACTCACCAATAATCAAACATATCGTCATTTTAGGGGGTCCAAAATTGAGGAACGCCGATCTTTTAAGCAGAACCTTTTTTTTATTATGAATCTTAAAAAAGAGTATACCAGACGATTGAGTTAATACAGAGGGGAAGCGCTTGACCTTTTTCAGAATGGCTATATACAGGATATCCAATGTTTGTAGCTTCACGACTGCGAGTCACGATTGAAAATATAAAAAAAAATACTTGTTTCAAATAAATCCCTATCCAACTAAACATTAAATTTTCTGTTTATTATATTTTCTTTTTCCCCTTTCTTCCTTTCCTATCGCCTATTAGCTGTCTTACGATAAAGCAGTTAGTGGCGTTGGATGTAACATCATAGCTAAGCGGATGTGAAACGTCATACATTGTAGATTGAAAATGGTAAGCATGGATTTTAGCAACAATTTGGAGACTTTTGGCAGTTCCAATCAGTGTCAGAACAGTTTATTCAATCTTGCTCTCATAGGGGGTATTTTCTTGTTTTGCCGCATACTGGTTATTTTCACACTGAAAGTAATACGTCGATGAAGGTAACAATTTTATTCAATTGATAAATTACAGTATTTCACTGTTGAAAACGTAACAAGTATAAAAGACGTACTTGTATATTAGAATCCCGTTTAGGCAAAAAAGCAGAAGGAAAATGTTTACAATCTATCATCTTACGCCAATAAATTGTAATCATGGTTTTAGTTGACATATTATCAAAATAGTATATGTTTCTAAGTCCTCGTTATCACAACTGCATTTTAGAATTAAGACCTTGGCTTTGATTCCTCATCTGGTAGTGCAACTCAAATTCATAGTTCCCTTTCAATGGATAAAATTCTTGTAAATCACGTTTCAGATTTAATCTTACAATGATATATACAGGGTCCAGTATATGTTCTACCAAACCTCTATCTTTGGTCTTCACAAAAATATTAACAATAGCGAAGTAGAAATTTCAGACATACGGTGCTAATCTAGTGGTTAGTCATCTATAATTTATAATTTTTACTCTAATATTGGTATTAAAAAAGATGCTCGAGTTCCTCATTACATGTAACAATAGCAATGTAGTCTTTGGAGACAGGGTGTCTATGGGCACAAATTGTGCTTCTTTATTAGCTGTCCTGATCTTATATTCTTATTCCAAAACTTCTACATAAGAAGGAGAAAACTCTTATCGATAAACAAAATTCATTTTCATTGATACGACAACTCTATTTGTCCGAGTGAACTCAAAATAAAATACACCATAAAGCCTGCCACATATCTGTTCATATTTGGATGTTTTACCGGATAGAGAAGTTAATGTCTAATTAACGACTGCATGTAACGTATATGAATTCAACTGTCCAACAACTACCCAATATCCTTCATTTCCATATAGTGATATTGTAAGCAAGAAATTTTCTCTGTACAGTGAATATTTTAAAACCCAGACACACTACTGACAAGTAATTTGATGTTTTCATACCAATTTTGACCATGGATGATCCGTTTATCTGGTCATGCAGAAGGCTAATGGTGAAAGTGACCTTTCGACAGGGGCTGCAGTAATCAAAACAAGTAAACACGTACTTATAAAATCATATTTGGCTGAAATTCCCTGCATATTCATATTAATCAATATTAGTATAAAGTAAAAAAAAAAACAAACAGGCAGTATTTTGTATTATTTCTTATCATAATGAAAGACCACGTCGAAAAATTTTACAATTAATGAAAGACTAAACCAAGATGGATTCAATAATTTATTTATTTTATTTTCCTACATTATTTTCAGGACAGGAGAGTCTCCCCCAGTATTCACATCTACAAACTGTGCCATCGCTTAATTTGTCTGTAGTTCCTCCGCGCCAAACAACCATTTGGTGGTTAGTTGGATCCTTAAAAAAGCAGTACATTGGGGTAATGATCAATGACGTGGTGGTAGTGGTTGTGGCTGGGGTAGTGGTTCGAAATGGTGTTGTGGTGGGTGGGATGGTAGTTGGATAGGTCGTTCCGCAGTTAAAGTTATCACCATAGATCACGTGACCAGTGTCTGAACACTGTGTGAAGTAACACCAGTTTCCACTTTGTCCTTGTTCAATCATCTCTCCTGGCATATACCACTTTCCGTTATAGTGGCACATGAAATTAGGCGATGTATGGAAAGTTCCAATCGTTGAAAGAGCTGGAGGGTACGTTGTCGAGGGATACTGGTTTTGAAAAAGGGATTTCTTCGAATTTTCGTGTTGACTTTGGATACATTGATAATTATCAACCTTTAAAAGCTGGCCGAAAATACACAAAATCCCTTGACAATTATGTTTTTTGTCAGGAAATTCAAGGATTGACTCTCCATTCTCATACTCCTTCCCATACAAACAACAGCTACCTTCAAATTAAGATTACATAAGAAAGTTAAACCGTAACATAATGTATGACTTAAATATAAGGAGATTCACAAGGAATGACAAACTTTGATTGAGACGAGCTACGTAAAAAAGGGGTAGATCTAGCATCAGAAAGGATTATCAATTGCGGAAGAATATTTCAACAATTAAATTACAGTTGCTGGACTAACACTCAAATTATTCCCGTATTAGAATTTTGGGGGGAAAACTTTGCATGGTGAAAATAAAATAAATTAAAATAAAAGGCCAAGAATGGAAAATATTTATTAGCCCCCCACCCCACCCACCCCTAAAAAATTAAAAATCTGGAAATAAAATGACAACAGGGGAAAAAACACACAAACGAAGCAAAACAAAAAATGTAAGTTTAATATTTTCTAAAAACAAAAGGTACCTTATAATCCATTGCACATATCAAAACTTGCAAAATGTAGAAAATCAACGAATGTTTACCAATACTCTCCCTTAAAGGTAATTTTTATTTAAAAAATTGTTTGTCATCTTATTACTGTATAAATAAAGAGAGTTGCCCAAACGACGTTCAGACTAGTAGTCCTGAGAGGATTTTGTCTTGGATGAAGCAGCATAAATCATCTACAGTGTTTGGTTATCTTCGCTTATTTTCAGAAATCATTTAATCAGATTCATTTTTTTATTCGAAAATCTATATCATATATTGCATATTTTTATTCGCATATCATTCATTTTATAATGAAAGTTAAAATCACTACCGTGTTAAATTTGCAATTTACTGATGATGAAAACAAGATGTGTTTGTGAAACACTGATGCCCCCGTATGGCAACTTATAGCGAAAGTTAAGATTTCTCAAATGCAAATCAAATATGTTGGTACCCAAAGTGAGGTCTCGTCCCGAGAAATATACCTGTGAAATATGAATGCCCTAGCAGCAACCATTGAAAAAATATGGAAAAGGTTAAAGTTTTTCAAAAGTAAGTGAAACATCAAGATCAAATGGTCAAAATTAATTTTGCCAAAGGAAAAGCCTTCTCACAAGAAATACACATGTGGAACATGAAAACCCTAGCACCACCATTAAAAAGATATGACCAAGGTTAAAATTTTCCAAAAGTAGGTCAAACTCCAAGGTCAAAGGGTTAAAGTTAATGTTGGTACGTATCCAGAGGAAGGTCTTGTCACAAGCATTAGACGTGTGAAGTATGAAAGCCATAGCACCAACTGTTCAAACGTTATGGCGAAGGTTTCAGTTTTTCAAAAGTAGGCCAAACACCTAGGTCATGGTCAAAAGGTAAAAGTTGTTGATATCAAAAGGAAAGTCTTCTCACAAGAATTAAACATGTGAAATTTGAAAGCCCTAACCCAACTGTTCAAAAGCTATGGCCAAGGTTGAAGTTTTTCAAAAGTAGGTCAAACTCCTAGGTCAAGGTCAAAGGGTCAAAGTTGATATCCAAATTAAGGTTTTGTCACAAAATTGCACATGTGAAGTATGAAATCCCTAGTATCATTTGTTCAAAAGTTATGGCCAAGGGTAAATTTTTTTCAAAAATAGGTCAAACTCCTAAGTCAAGGTTGTTGAGATCCAAAGGAAGGTCTTGTCACAAGGATTACACATGTGAAGTATGAAAGCCATAGCACCAACTGCTTAAAAGTTATGGCCAAAGTTAAAGTTGGGTAAAATTTTGTAAATTTGGGTCAAACTCCAAGGTCAAGGTCAAACGGTACACAAAGAAATAATACACATGTGAAATATGAAAGCCATAGCTCCAACCAATCAAAAGTTATGAGCAATGTTTAAGTTTTTGTGGATAAACAGACAAACAGCTAGACAGACGGACAGGGAAAAAACTATATACCCCCGAATCTTCGATACGGGAGCATAAAAATTGTACACCTGTAGAATTTTTAACGTCAGTGTACATACGCACATGATTCTAACCAAGGAATAAAAATACTCATCGAACAGATGTTATCACTTTACAATCAGTACTAGTTGCCATAATTCAATAAATACCACATACCAGGTCGTTGATTTCTACATACTGGATTTCCAGCTACAATAATTTCGCAAAGAATACCAAAACTTAAGACAAAAATACACCACATTTCTTATGTTGTATATGGAATGGGCTGAACTAATTCCTTATCAGTTTATTTATCTATATGTCGTCTTGTTATTATCAGAATTGCGTAGCAGTTAAAGGTTTTTCCATTTGTTAAGATCATATATTTATATAATCATATTTTAAAATAGTGCAGAACCGAATGACATACTGAAGTACCACAGGCGCTTGACGTTTTTAACCTTTCTTTCCTTAAATAAAAAATCCCCCATACTATAATAATAACAAGGTTTGTCACGGTCGCCATCTTGAATTTTTCAGTTCAGCTACTTCGCCTCGATTTTTAGTCTACAATGTGTTTAAAATTAACGGATACAACCGTTTCCCTCAAGTACTTACTTTAACTATGCCTCCACTTTCGGGCAATTCAACCCAAATCACATTAAATCCTCTCTAATTCTTAAAATGTCGCTTCAAACTCAGTCTACTGCTACCGATTCCGTAAAACTTAGAAAAGGGAGGCCGGAAGTTGATGTTGTTATGTAAATGGCAATTCCCTCTACTTAAATTTCATTGGTTAAAAGAAATATGACGTCTCGCGGGAAAAATCATGCAAAGACAGTAACAAACTTTTTCGACATGTTGAATGCTGAGCAGGCCGATGCTTTCCATAATCATCAGAAATAATATGTGGAATATTTATTTTTCTTTTATTTTGTTGAAGAAAAAATCATGAGGAAATAAAAATTATGCTTGGTCCTGGAATTCTGGTCACTAATTTCTCGTGTAAACCAGACCCCTTGCATTCTGGCATAAATATTTCTTCCATATAATGGTACTATTTTCAGTGTTTGGAAGCGATGAAAATTATAAAAAAAGAAGGATAGATATGTGTATGTTTTATTTTTCATCACAGTGGTGAGCTGGCCCAGATCACTGAACCTCCATGTCCCCTCTTTCTACAGGCGCGAAGCTGTCTTTGCAAGTACGCAAGTGCGTTACTACACATCGTTTTTAAAAAAAATCTAGGTCTGAGAGAGAGAGAGAGAGAGATTGTTGAGAGAAAAAAAATATTAGCATCATCCGGCAAATATTTCTGTTTCAAATTATTAATTGTCATTATTTCGAATCAAATTTTATATTATTACGTCTATTTGAAATCTTTTATTGAATCATTGCCAAATCCAAATAAATCATTAATCTATAGTAAGTGTTCTATAACACATTAATAATTCTATAAGACCTTTGAGAAATTAAGTTTAATTATCGTCTTGGCTTGATCAAATAGTATACTGGCGGATTTAGAAGGAGGGGGGGGGCAGGGAACCCGCCCCTCCCTTTGTGTCCAAAATATACATAAGATTTAATAAAGCAATTTTTTTGTGTGTGGCTGTGAGCCCCTAACCTGACCCCAAACTGGTCGCCCCCCCCCCTTTCAAGATTCCTGGATCCGCCACTGTAGTATATGATTTTAAATTTATTTTTGCTACCAACATTTAAAATACTTGTTGCTGAACATTATTAATACATATTATAACAGAGAGCAGACGATGCAAATGTAGCGGTAAAAGATTCTGCATGCCTCAAGTAAATTTACAATAAGTTTCCGAGAAAGTTAAACTTCGTGTTAAAAACAATATTACTGTCTTGTCTTTCATAAGAAAAGCCAAATACCATGCTATTCCCTGCAAGAATGTGATTGAAATATTTGTACAAGCCAGGAGCTCCCCCCCCCCCTCCGGCCCCAATCAAGGCTTCGCCTAAGACCTTCGGCTGGCCTCACAGATTATATTGCCATTCATTTATTTTTAAGGGAGGACCAATTGATTCCGGAGGGGGGGGGGGACTGGGCTGGCAATTTTTTCCCAGCTTTATTTCCATGTCGGTGAAGGACGATTAAATTTAATTTCAAAATCTGCCAGACCCCCCCCCCCCCTAAATTTCAGAATTATATTGTAAACGCTTTTATGTTTTGACAACATAATTGAATTTTTATTTGGATTTAAGCCCCCCATTACTTTCAGGTGTGTAACTACGCCTCTGTATGTAAAATACAGTGTATAACTAATCAGCCTAAATATTTCAGTGTTTCTTAAATAGCAGTTGAAAAAGTACACAGTTTTAGGCTAAATATATTTATTTGCAAACAGTTGGGGACTATGATATATCAATATATATTACTAAGTTATTTATAAAAAACGTACCAGTAGTCTAGAACTGCTCAAGCTCCATTTTTAAACAGCTCTTAATATTAATATAACTCTCAAGATATCCACCAATCAGAAAAGGGCTTTCCCGGATTGTGACGTTCTAACATCAACTTCCGGCCTCCCTTTTCTAAGTTTTACGGAATTGGTAGCAGTAGACTGAGTTTGAAGCGACATTTTAAGAATTAGAGAGGATTTAATGTGATTTGGGTTGAATTGTCCGAAAGTGGAGGCATAGATAAAGTAAGTACTTGAGGGAAACGGTTGTATCCGTTAATTTTAAACACATTGTAGACTAAAAATCGAGGCGAAGTAGCTGAACTGAAAAATTCAAGATGGCGACCGTGACGAACCTTGTTATATTTATAGTATGGGGGATTTTTTATTTACGGAAAGAAAGGTTAAAAACGTCAAGCGCCTGTGTGAAGTACATGTCAAAGACAACAAATTATTTCAAAATCTTGCTAAATATGTTGTTGTAAACTTAGGGATACAATAAATTAAGGAATGCAAGTTTTAATATTACATGTACGTCCCATTTTTTTCAGGTGTTTTTATGTCTTCTAGCCCATTTATTATTATTATTATTATTATTATTATTATTATTATATATATATATATATATATATATATATATATATATATATATATATATGTGTGTGTGTGTATGTGTGTGTGTGTGTGTGTGTGTATGTGTGTGTGTGTATGTATATATACCACTTAATTAATATTTGGAGCAATTTTGTTCTGTATATACTTGTCAAACATATTAATTTTGTTACATATCATTCTACTGTCATTTACTTACTTATAGTCGCCCGCGTGGTGCAGTGGTTAGAGCGTCTACTCTAGAGTCGCGGAGTAAGGGGTTGATCCTTACGTCGCGGGTTCGAATCCTACTTTGGGACGTGGAGACCGGTCCTTCGGATGAGATCGGATGTCGCAATAGGAGCTGGCACGAAAAAGATCCCTCACTGCTCAATGGCCTTGAGCTCCGAGTATAGGTCAAAATTTGCAGCTCTCCACCGGCAAGTAGTGGCGTCTCCATATGAGTGAAAAAATTCTCTTGAGAGATGTTGAACAACAAACAAACAAAAACTTACTTACAAAATGATTATTTTTTTTTAAATTTATACGAGTTGCGTATTTCATTTGAACAGGCTGGCATAAAGTGAAATCTTTTGGTTTACTAAAAACTTCAGAATATGGTACATGTAAATGCTTTTCTGAGTTACATGTAGGATACTAGGAAACAATAGGAGACACGGTACTTAGATATTTCATACCACTAATATGACAGAAAAGTTAGAAGTCAACCACTGTGGTACATAGATTATTTTTCATTTTTCAACAGTAGATATATGGTTTAAAAACCAAAATTCATTTTCCTGCAAACGCTTTATTGCTCTGATTAAATCTTCCATTTCCTACTTTATATTTAATAAACTCTCTTCAGGGTTTTATAGTAAAAGCATAATTTTGAATCAGGCTGAAAGGGTCCATTAAGGCAATTAAGTTTTCTCAAGAATCAGCAATGTGCTAAATAGCCAAGTATGGAGTCACATCAGCGTAATGTTTTCAAAAGATTGTATCTCCAATATAGCCAGCTCACTTTATTTGTTTGATCGCCATTCACTAAAAGTCATAACATCTGAAAGCACCCTACGGAAATGAATTTTAAGGATAGGTATATAAACAATTATGTATGTGATAAATATGAAGAAAATAATACATGTATTTATATATAAAAGAATTTAAAATTTAAATTGCAACAAAAAATATATACAAAACAGCAGAAAAACTAGAGTCATTTCTACTTTTTTTCACTTTTACGCAAATGGAACAGTGTGCACTTAAGTTTGAGAATGTATAAAATCTCAGGCACAATATTACTAGTAACTAGTTCATAAATGTAGAAGTAAAATCTGAAATGTCTTCTTTTTTTTTTTAAATATTTTATTCTTTTACATCGGTTGCACTAGTACTTCTTGTTGGCAAGTTCAGACTGCCCATACATTTCCCGTCCATTGTACAATTTTTCTGTCTCAGATGAAACACAGAGAGTAAATATCGTCGAAATTTTCGACTCAGACAACAATATATAATTAAACTGGAGAAATGTACAATCGTATCGACTGAAGAAATTATCGCCAGCAAGGTATTCAGAGAACATCTCCTACACGACACATTTTCTGCGTATGAGAAGTATAAATGTGCTGTGATAGCTGGAAGATCAGCAATAATTACCACAAAGATAATGCATGAAGTAATCAAAGACATCCTATCAGTTGATGAGTTTGTCTTCTTAACTTGTTCTTTTCTTCCACCACCATGTTTTTTCCTCCATTGGCTGATTTTCCTCAACTTATAAACCAAGCAGGTGTTAACAATCACTAAAATGACAAACGGTACAAGCTTTGCAAACACTGATTTGATCATACTGACAATCTTGATGTCAACGACTGGCTTTTGAGGCCTGCACCCAAGAATTGTTGCATTGGACTGAATGTAAGAATCTACTGTAGCTTTCTGATACTTTGTATTTAACAACTGAGGAACGAATATGGAGACTGATAGAACACCAAGAACGAAGATAGCGATAAGAGTCTTCTTCGTCGTAAAAATTCTGCTTGCTCGGTATGGAACTGACACAATAATACATCTTTGTATTCCAAGGAGAGCAAGTAAATACAAATACCATGAAATAAATATCCCTGGGATCTGTTGATGGAAAACGATAAAAGGGACACACCAGTCGTATTGTGTGAATTCCTCCGCATGTCCTAGAGTGTAAAAGTAGATGGATGGTGTAAACTTGCTCATGGCACCCAGGCATTGTAGTACAGCCATTGCTACAA